TAAAACGCATCTGTTGATACGTCCGACGCTGATCAGATGCGACTGTGTTGAACTGTCTGTGTCTGTGTAGTAGAGATGGGTTCGCTGATTTTGACAATTGAGAGGAGAGTGTCGGGCGCTATTTGCTTGAGCGCGGCCAGCGCTTCCGAGGGAGAAGCGGAAGCCATGCTATCTCGAGCCGTTTCCGAAAACAAAAAGTAACATATAGAGCGAAGCGATTTTTACCTCATCAAGGCCATGAAGGATCAGGCAATGGGAGGTTCCTGCGGCCGAAAGTAACAACTTGCAATCAAAATTATTTCGCGGCAGCTCCCGCTATCAGCAAGTGCCCCTCGGAAGCCTGTAAACAACGATGTTTGTCCTGTTTGCATCCGCCCGTCGTCATTGAACCAACTCCGCATACATGAGAGAAGGCAAGGCTTTGTCTGACTCGATTTCTCCCTACATCCCTCATGGGACGGCACAGGCGATATATATCTTCGCACCCGAGTTTCTTCTCTCATACATGGCGTGCCCGTTGGAATAATGTCTAAATCGAAGGAGGCGGGCTCCGTGAAAGCCCCAAACCTCAACGATGACGAATATGTGGCCCAACTCCTTGTGAAGGATGCGCGTGATAGTTCCCTACGATATTCTGCTATAGGAATGAGTGCTTTTGCTCCACTAAAAAGGTGTGTGTGCTTTTTGTTTTAAACTACTTTATACAGATCTGTGTCATTGTCTGACTGGCGTGGAATGTCCGTCATGTCCGTTGACTCTAGGCCGTCCGCACGAGTCCCAAAACCAAATACTCGATTTTTGAAGAATATACTTCGAGAAACGGACATCCATAATGCGAGTCTTAAAAAAAAGGAGGAGGAAGAGGCCAGTGGGAGAATCAGGGCATTGCGACATGAGAATGGGCGTTCGTCTGGCTCGAAGCAGGAGCGCGATCTGCATAACGTGAAAGCGGCGAAGCGACGAATGGTTGAAGCTACCTTAGACCAAAAATATGAACGTGAACATTGCTCTAAAAGACAAAATGGAAATGATGAGGGGAATCGACATACTTCGCGTGACCGGGAGAGAGAACGAGGGAGGGAAAAGAGAAGCGATCAGAGGATGAGGGGAAGGCGATACGATGAGAACAGCGATGATGACGGTAAGCCCGGGAGACGCACGTCGTCAAAATCGAGACACCATAAGAGGGAGGATAACCGGCCCCACCGTAGCAGTCGTAGCCGGCGGCATGCAGAACATGCTCATTCCCCAGAAAAGCACAGGGCAAGTGATAATTCTCGTGAACGTCGCTCTCACGGTAGAAGGCGCCGTCACTGTGAGTCAGGCTCTCCACCACGACCTCGACGTTACTCACTTGAACACTCCAATTCCCGAAAAGGGAGGCTCAAAGATCTAAATGAATCTCATGATGAACATCCCCGAACCGGCACAGACTGTACAGCTACTCCATTGCGAGACAAACTACCTGCTGCAAATGGGGAAAAGTCTCCAACACATCGTCAAACTTCAACGCACCACGGCGGTCCCGACTCCGTATCTCCGTCGCGAAAGCTTGATACCATAGACCCATCAGATTCAGATCCAGGTTCAGATTCAGATCCGCTAGAAAGCCTCATTGGCCCACTTCCACCCCCTGCTGAAAATGAAGCTCCACCGCTCCGGTCTCGTGGTAGAGGTGCGTATAAGAACAAAAGCAACATCGATTCCCACTTCGCATCTGGTTACGACCCGCTCCTCGATGTCCAACCAGATGACGACGATGGGGATGGCTATGGTAACACGACCAACCCCAAAAATCACATCCGACGAAGGCCGGTGGCTGGCCTGGCGACGGCAGAGGACGATGACTGGGACATGGCTCTTGAGGCGTTGCGGGATCGTGCTTTGTGGAGGCGGAAGGGTGCAGATCGGCTTCGTGAAGCTGGGTTTGATGAAGGGACTGTTGAGAAATGGGCTAGTAATAGGGCGTTTGTGGGGTTGGATGGTGGTGCCAATGGCGTGGGGCACAGAGATATTGGCCGTGATAGGGATAGGGATGTGGAGGATGTGAAGTGGGTGAAACAGGGAGAAAAGAGGGAGTGGGATCGTGGGAAAGTTTTGATGGATGACGGGCGCGTTGATGTTAGGCCTGAGTGGTAGTTTTTGCAATTCTGCGAACGACTATCGGGCGTTTTAACTGGTGGAAGAGCGGATTTGGCCATAGCCATATCTTTGGCATATTGTTGGCTTTTATTTCTTTTTGGATGTTGTCATCATATTGCTTGCTTTGTCCGCCCTGTCTTCGTATATCATCCTCATTATTGCACTTGCAGCCGTGGTTGCATGAATTGCTGATAGATGCTATTCGCATGAGCTATATACGGCACAGACTTGTCTGGATACCTGGATATATCATCCCCAGGTTGTTTCGGTCGTACGAGATGTATGTCCGACCTTTAGTCCCCATGCATCTCCTTCGTTTGACTCAATACACCACTCCACCCACCGTGTGTCCCCCTCCCCAGGGCTGGCGCCATTTTGTCCCCTCACCTCTACCATCCCTCTCATGGGCTCCCTCCATATCTTATCGCATGAATTCACTATAATAGACCACATAACTCACCTCTCACATAATCGTCAATCATCCCAAATGAGGCGTCTTCTCCACTTTCTCCATTTTGACAACAAACCACCAAAGCCATCCATGACATCAGTCCCTCGCAAGTAGATTATGCCATCTGTCGTATGTGGCTGCAGCTGTTATTCTAACGCTGTGTAAAACAACTTCAGACGGACCAAACAAGAATAACAAACGAATGCCACCCTTGATCAAGGCCATGCATATCATGTTTTTTATTTCTGGCCGTTGCTATGCGCTCTTTAGGTGTTGCATTTTGTACAGTACATGTACGTAGTCGCAAGCACCATCGCTCACCCCAAGCCCCATAGTACCATCTTTCCGTTTTTTACCCATATTAATGCACAGAGTGTAGCTGGACTCGGCTGGAGGGATGTATATGCAAAGGGCTGGTTCTGGCGGTATAGCTAGAATGGGAGAGTGCACAAGGAATTGGAGATGAGTGTGACAAATGGGAGGGAAACGTTGATGATGGGTGCGCTCCTCCTCTGGATGTAAGAGATTCACGGATTAAGTTGGCTCAATCACGCTTGTATTATTAAAAGTTAATGTATTAGGCTATGTATGTATGTGGATATGGATGTGGATGGGTACGGGTGCGGGTGTGTATATGCAGATAATTGTATATGCGGTACTATTTGCGGGTTTAACTTCTTGGTGTTCATTTTCGTGGATATCTCTCTAGAAATTGAGGGAATGGGAATGGGAGCAGGAAAAGACACAAAATACATGTAATATATTCTTTTTTCATTGTTGTATAGGGGGTAGAAAGGTGAAAACCGGGTAAAACTTGATAAGGAAAATATAATGGAAATGAAATTTTGGGACACAAACAGGAAATGCTGCGAGAAAGGGGGTTTAGGGGAGGTACGCAGGAGAGCGCAGGATTGCGCTGGGGTATAAAAAGTATTAAACATAACTTAAAGGGAACGGGAGAGAAAGGAAAGGCCAGGCAATGGAGTAGAAACAGAAATGTCAAGACATGGTGATTATAGAGAGAAAAAAAGCATAAAGATGCCAACACACCCTAGGGAACAGGAAAATCATCTAGTTCTTGAAGCGCATTCTATCCGTTCGGTAGCAGAGGCCAACGATTTTTTTTTATCACCATCCTGATAAATACCCGCGTACCCGAGATATATATTCTCTCCGTCTCTAGGAGTTTAATTTCGTGCGTTCCATCGGTCCCTCTTGTAGGGTCATTGCATTTTTCAGTCTGTTGCTTAGAGCAAGAGAGGGATATAAAAATAGACAGATTTCGAAAGGAGGGCGGGGAAATCATCGGATGTAACTTCGTAAACTGTTCCAAATACCCAACCAATCCAATCTTCAATCGAATAGTGGACGTCTAGGTAGGTATGGACTCAAGGAATTTATCATTTACGATCCACCAGTTGGATGCCATGTGTTCGAAAGTAAGGTTCAAACAACGGGGTGAGGGCGTAGAGATCTTCCAACGCTTACGATAGTTGGGAAAAAAAAAATCTTAGGTGAGAGTTTAGAGATTCAATGTCCAAATTCGAGTTGTTCGCCCATTCATCGTGATTATTTAAGTCATGACTCATGAGGAAGGATTGACAATCCTTCCGTATATCATCTCTCAAAATTTTAGCTAATATCCTCCTGCGATCCGTCTCCTGTCAGATGACCGCTGCGATAATTCATAGAGGATGTCATTAGATAACAACAATAAACGCAGGGTTTTCACGCTCTCGTCCTCCGTCGGTACCAGAAGCGTGCGGTGTCGGAATCCAACGGAATTTGTGATTGTTCCATAGCTGTAAAGAGGCGCAATAACGATCCTAGAGGTTGAGGAGAGGCAAATTCTGGTGGCCTTGTACCTATCACCGTGCCTCCTTGGTTGTCAATAGTCTCAGTATCCGGGACAGTAACTCCTAGGGTTTCGTTCAGTGTATCAAGTTGTACTTCGCTCGCAAATTCCACCAGGCTCCCGAGTAATCTAACCCAGTGTATTAATATCTCAGGATCTACCACCAAGTTGCTTGGAAGGCGGAATTGTATCGTTTTTTGTTTCGACTGTGCTGGCTGTGGAGGAGCAGGATACCCATTGGGTTGATTTGTGGCTGGGCTTGGCTCTTCCGTAGGGTCTAGGAGCGAAGAGAAATCGTATTTGAAGTAAAAGTGGCTGTTCGGTTGACGAAATTCAGGAAGACTTGGGTTCATTGCATTAACGAGCGACCGCATATCGGGGCATGTGTTCAGGAGATGAGAAGCTAACATGTCAGAAGGACATGAATGGGGGAGATTTGGAGGGAGAAAGTGTGGGTTTTTAAGGGGCGTTAACCATCGCTTCTATCATCCTGTGTTAATCTATAAAGTATGAAAAATGGTCATCGATGAGGGAGGAAATTATGACTTACGGGGTTGTTTTGATGAGCAGGGAAGGTATGCAGGCGGAGCATTCTGTCCACTTCAGGCTCGTATACCAGTAAAATCATGGCAAGGTTGCGGATGGTGTGAAAAGGAAAACCTGCGTTGGGATTTGTGCCGTTTCCTATGTGTACATTGAGACTCGTACTAGGATTGTACTCGGTGTACATGAGTCCGTACCGCACGATAGGGTTATAGTGCTCTGATCTTTGTGAGAATACCCGCTGGAAATCAGCTTCCCACCCTGGGCCCGGTGAATGAAGTATGTCGGGAGAGATGATTTTTATAGGATTGAGTTACGTCTGGGGTATGTAGTCAAGCAAAAAAACTTATTTTC